ACTACTTCACAGTCAGGGTGGCTAGGATCTGGAATCAACTTCCAAAGGAAGTGGTGCTCGCTTCTACCCTGGGGGTCTTCAAAAGGAGGCTAGATAATCACCTCGCCAGGGTCGTTTGACCCCAGCATTCTTTCCTGCCCATGGCAGGGGGTTGGACTTGACGATCTGCTCAGGTCCCTTCCAACCCTACCAACTATGAAACTATGATACACCAGTTCCTGAGTGACTGTGATTAGCACAAGGAACTGTAATAACTAGCTTATTCTATTTTATAACATACTCATAGATCTGGAAGTGGGAGGTCACAGAAAGAGTTCTATGAAGTAAGTTATGTAAAATAATTCTGCAGGTTGTATATTCTATCTAATACTTTCACACTAATACTTATACAAATGCAGTCATATGCTACCATGTTACACGTTACTTTCTCTTGGTCACTGATGTGAATTATTCTGAAATGTACAAGGCAGTAATGAATGGAATGTATACAACTGGAGAAAAAATAGCTGATTCATAAAATGATATTTTGAAAAAAATATACATTTGTTAGATTGAATGTCCTTTCTCATCTCTTTGTAAGGGCTATTTTTTCAAGATGTGGAAAAACACCAGAAAACATGTAAGTATCAAAATCTCAAGAGAGAGTAATGTATTGCTGATCAAGATGATAGACTTTTTTCCCCATAAAATTGTTATCCTTAGTTCAGCAGTTTTGGTTATATATTAACTAGAATTTTGAGTAAATTGCCTAAAAATGAGTCCCAAAGGATTAATGAATGTATTATTTTATAAATAGACTAAGAAAAATCCAAAAGCTTCAGTAGCCCCTAGGCTCCTGAACTAGTAAGTGTGTTGCATTAAGCAAGTCCAGTCAGATTATTGTAACTGTTTATTGGCTCAAACAAGGCATAGGTAATAAAGAGCATCTTTCACCTTATACTTGTATACTGTTTTTCTTAGCACAACTAAAAGAATTTAAAGGAACTGCACGTTGTAAGGGGGAAAGGGCATGATCAGGACAGCTTTGAGGGAATTTCAGTTTCCTATTTTGTGCACATCCTTTAAAGGTCAGATTAACATGTCCTGTTTCTCTCTCTAATAATACAAGAAAAACTTTTTGTCACTTTTTAGTAATGGACAGAAAAATGACACTTCTTCAGCTGGGGCAGATTTGCTAGATTGATTAACGATGAAAAACCAAGGGGATACTGCCAGCAAGGAGAAAGAAAAAGCTTCTCACTTCCTGGTAGGATAATGGGAGTGTAGCAGCGGAGGTGTGGATTCCAAGATCACAGCAAGCTGTGCTCTATTCAGAATGTTACCCAGAGCATATGAAACATGTTCTGTAACCACATGGAAACTTTGGCATGGGAGGAAGATTGTAGGAGGGAGACTGTAAGGTATAACAAGAAAAAAATTCAGTAAAAAGATCAGGAAATATTTTGCATTACATAAAGTGGATATGACACAGTTGTGCTTTTAAAAACTTACTACTTACATAAAAAGAAACACTGATAATGAAAACCTTTTCTTGGAAGAGAAGTAGTGTGGGAAATGGTAGGTATGTGGGTGAGAGAGTGTGGGTTGTGGAACCAACATGAGGCAAAACGTATTTGGAGAGTATAATATCCCACACAGTGAAAAAAGTGAAAGCAAATGGGGAGATGTTTTTAAATTAACAAGCTCATTTTTCTTGCAGAGATAAAGTTGAAGTTGAGTAGATGTCACATAGGAGATCATATGGAGAAAGCAAAGGATCCATGAAACCTTATGCACCCGCCTGGCCTTGTGTAGATGCTCCCTGGCCACCTTGGAGCGTGTGCTCAGGGTCTGCTGCAGAGACTGTTTTAGTGGTCTCGATATCAGGTCACGTTCTCCCTGAGGGAAGTTCCGACATTCGTCTGCCATGACCTAGATCTTCCATTTAGTTGTGGGGCTCCCTTCAATTGCACTCTGTGGGTCAGGTGTCACTCCTAGCAAGTGCTCTTGGGGCTACACCTCCCCTGCACTCCAACCATGTGCCAGCCTCTTAGGGTGACCAAACAATGGTCAGTTGGCTTGCTCCCCCGGTGTTGCCTCCCGTGTCCTCTCCATCCATCCTGTTCCCAGTCTTCCTTGCTTCGCTCCAGTGCCCTCAGGATGGTGGGCAGTCCTTGATAGTGTGCTGGATCTTATTCTCTGCATCGAGATCCCCAGCATGGCCCCAGTCCACTCTGCCCCTTGAGCAGTGCCTGCAGCCACTTCTGCCAGCCCTGGGACCCAGGGAAAAAATTAAGAAAAGAAACAATAAACTGAAACTCTGGGGAAGGGTCTCAGCTCACCCCACTCATGCTCCCGGCATCTGCGGACTCTCTCATGGCTCGATGCCTTCCTCCAGCTTCCTCGCCATCCAGGGTTACACTCCCTTAATTACTGTCAGACCCTTCCGACGGGTCCCTCCTCGGCCTCTCTTGCTCCTGGCTGGGAAGTTCTTGCCCAGCTTGGGGGACAGCTCCACAGCCTGTTCTCTGCAGCATTCCCCCAGCTGCTTCCTGGCCGCTGGCTTTTATTTCTGCCGGACGGTGTTCATGGATGATGTCATCTCCCCGCACCAGTTTCAGCTGCAGATAAAAGCAGCTGATGAACCGTGTGGGTGTTGTTTTACTGTGGCTTGTCTGGCCCTGCTGCTTCTGAAAAAGGTAAGTTTGCCCTGTCTTCAGGGCTTTTCTTTTTGTTGTGGTGGTGGGTTGTTTCTGTCTTGAGCCCTGCCATGGAAGGGGGCTCCTGCCTCTTTTCCTGCATCCCCCCTGGGACACCTTACTACTACTATTTTATCATAACACTACAGTTTCTTTTTCACAGTCAGAAAATAAATGACGGAGAACTACAGAAAGGTTCAGCTTTTGGATAAAGATTAGGATCTGATCCAAAGCTCCCTAATAATATCAATAGAAAATACCATGCTGACCTGAATGGATTTTGGATCAGCTGCATAGAACTCTGATTTACATACAAATTTAGGCTATATCAGTGGTAACCAACGGAATTAACTTGTTTTCACTATGTGAAAATGAGTTAGGGACTTAAGTCCAGTCTCTGGCAGATGTTCACAAAACTCACATCATCAGAACTATCAGTTTGCATGGTAGACCAATCAGAGAGGCCAAGGAATGACTAGATATGGAAACAAAATAATCTAGACATGGTTTCCTGTAGGGCAACATTGAGTCACATTAGTGAGTCAATGTGAAGAAGCTTGTATTGTGATTTGCTGGGCCTGACTGTGGTCATTATGTATATAAACAGGAGATTTTGCTTCCTTGAGAGATCACTTGGACATTTTCCACAAAAATATACATTAAGTGTTTTTATATATAGGGTAGGTTTATGTTTCATATACTAGGGCCTTAAAAACAAATGTTTTCTAACAGATGTGGTCTAATCTCAGACAACAGTTCAATCAGTACCATGGGAGGAAAATTCTACTTAATTTTATTTCCTTTTGAAAAGTAGAAGATAAAGTAAAAATGCTATATTTCCCCACATACAACATGCACCAGAATAAGATATGCACCTTGTTTCTGAAATGCAGAATGAAGAAAAATAAGATCTTTCCTCATAGTCAGTAAATGAGTAACAGCAGTTAGGGAGCAAAGTCTGTTCAGTGTTCTGTTCCCTGTGGATCTTGAGCAGCGTTGTTTTTCTTTTAACCCAGCAGAAACTTAAGCAGTGGAAACTGTTGTTACCATATTTCCTGGCTTATAATGTACACCCCAATTTCCAGCACCTAAATTTTTTTGGGAAAAAGGTATATGTTTCATGTGAGAAAATATGTATTTATTAAACAATCTTTCCACATCACTGTTGTTTCCTAGTGTGATATAGGTTTCATTTCAGCAAAGCACCTAAAAGGATGCAAATGGAACTTAAAAAATGTGAAAGTTAAAATATGCTCTTAAGAACCCCCCTAAACTGGAGGGATTTTAAAAACTATGTGGGGCCTGTACACAAGCCAGGAGGCTGCTCCATCTCACTGTAACTACAGCACATCAGAGCAGACACGATTGAGTTGGCTAAAGCATGGTAATTATTTTGCTCCAACCAGCCTCCGTGTCACGTGTATCAGCATCCCCACACTTCAAAATGGTGGCAGCGGCATTTTAACTAAGGCTTGTTAATAAGCTTTAGATAATGTGCCCCTGCCACCATTTTGACTCATGGGGACACTGATACACAAGATGCTCTGGGCTCTTTAATTAGAGTGGCACCTGGAGCTGCTCAATTAAAGCACCCTGTCCAGACCCCTGGAGTATGTGTAAAAATGCCCTATGTGCCAAAAAGTGCTTTGCTGAGTAAGAGCCAGAGGGATAAAGGAGTTTCTCCTTCCTTTCTTGCCTGTGGCTGTTGCATATATTTTTTCTACTTGGCACCTTGCTGTAACTAAAACCGTTTCTGGACCTTATTTTTAGGTACTTATTTTTTCATTTTTAATTATTTTAAATTATTTTCCTAACTTCACCTACTGTCATCACAAATCATCATATGTTCAAGAGCTAGCATTTTAGCCTCCCACCAAATAGCAATCGTCATAGAAGTGACTGTGGGACCCAAGATATCTGTATTCCGGGGCCTCCAGCAGCAGTTCCACCCAGGTTGAGAGGGTACTCCAGAAAAAAGAGAATCTCAGAAAAAAAAAACCTCATTACTGTCAGAACAGTAGGAGAGCAGAACAGACTGTTCAGAGAAATTGTGAATCCCCTTCATGGGAGATATCTCAGAACAGGAAAGCCTAGGCATATTTTTGGGATAGCATACGGTTAGGGCATCCTACATTTGTGCAGTTTGACTTTGAGGTCCCATCCAACCCTGTAATTCTAGTTTATGTGTATGGGCTTTGTGGTGGTGAAAGGTGCTTAGAGTCACCTCTCTGGTGGGGACCTTATGGGTAATTGGCATTGCCTCCAAAGATAGGGCCAGATATGACCATTTAGGGCCAGATATGGCAGACTTTTGAGGAATGTGCTGATTCATCCCCTTGAGCAGTTTATACTGAGTCTTCATAAGAACATAAGACATGTCTTTGGGCCAGACTATAGGTCCGTCTAGTCTAGTATCCTGTTTCACAAAGTGGCACACAGTACATGCTGGAGGAGAATGAATAGTGCATGTCCAGACTTTTCTGGCTCCTCTCCCACCACAGCTTTCAGCATTTAGATATCTCTGTGCTGAGCAGATTTGTGTGTATTAGTTCCTGAACTGAAAGCAGTATGGTTGTATTAGTGTGGCACTGTGCACAGAGCAATAAGCTCTTCTGAGAAGCAGAGCTATTATCCTGCACAGAGCCTTGCTCTAATGTGCCTATGTTGTTTCTGGTTCAGGAGCTAGCGTGCCCAGCATGGCACAGCTCAGCAAATAGCTGCTCTGCACTGTGGAGGCATATTCTGAAAGTCTCTGCAAGAACTAGGAGTGTGACATTGGTAACAATGATAAAACACTCTACAGACTATTTCTTAGATGAGGTCTCTGAGCAGTGGAGAGGAGGACAAAGAAGGAGAGAAAATTGATGAAAGAAGTGCAGAAGGAGTCTTCTGTTACGAATCATGGAGACAATGAAAAAATATTAAAACCTGTAGTGCTAGGCTACAGTTAAATTATATTTAGGTTAGTTTCTATTTCAGTGAGCACTAATTCACTATTGCAACTGAAGTTTTTGCAAAAAACAGACAAACAAATGTTGACTTAAATATGAGACAAATAAGACCAACAATAAAATTGTTTTTGGAGAGCTGTATCCAGAGGGGTAAGGCCACATGGCCACATCCCCCTGTGGATGTGGACAAATGTGCAGTAAGCTCTGAGCTTACCCAATTGTCAGCTCAGATCCTGTCCATATGTGCCATGAAATCTGAGGTCACCAGCTGCTTATCACAGGCTCTAGCTGCAGCCCCTGCTTTCATGCAGCTCTAGAGTCAAGTGGATGAGTGCTGCCCCTGTTCATCCATCTCACCCAGAGGCAGGGGAAAAGAGGGGATGAGCATCCCATGCCAATTCTTCATTCTAGAATCACTTTAATACACTGCTTTAAGAGTTCCCAACTCTTGCAATTTTTTTGCGACTCTCATGATATATGGGACTTTTTTAAAGCCTCAGACCTTGTGTTCATAAAATGAAAAGAGAATCTCAGCTCCCATTTAAACATATAGATGTGTATCACATATGAAGAGAGAAGCTTGAAAAAAGTAAATCCTAAATGTCTATACAAGAAGGCATGAAAAGGACCCCAGTTATATTGTTTTTATAATCTCAAAAGTCAAGTGTTTAAAATCTCAAAATCTAAAGTCTAACATGTTTTTTTGGGGTCTGATTCATGATTTTTGAATGCTTCAAGTTGGCACTACTGAAATGCCCTAAGAAAGGTCATAAATTGTATAACTCTTGGAATAACCACAGGGTGAATCACAAGTGGAACTGTGACTTTGAGTATCAAAATTCATCCCAGGGCACATTTTTTATACTTGAAGAAAAATAATTGGTTGCAGCCCTGAAAAAGGTGCAGGCTACTTTCCTTTAGTCGACCTAACTCTGGCATAGAGATAGTCTACTCCCTGCCCTGCTTGTTTCCTGCCTCATGAACAGTATGTGGACTCAAAGGGTGTGTCTACACATTCATTACTGTGCTTTTGCTCGTGTACATTAAATTTAGTACCTCCATTGTGTGGTACTAGAAAAGGGTGCACTAGCCTATTTTAATGCACATTTTTTGCGATGCTTTAATGCGCATCATAATAGGCTAATGTACATTAAAGCACATGTGTAGATGTGCCCACCGTCTTTAATCCTCACATCCACTTCCTTGCCTAGTTACAGTAGGGCTGACTCCCAGTTGATCTGGTTTAAAATGTAATCATTGGGGGCATTTGTATAAACAGCAAAATGTGTGCCAGCACGCAGAAAATGGTGGCGGCATGGTTTTGAACTAAAACACATCAAAGGTGTTTTAGTTCAAAAGTGTATTGCTGCCATTTTCTGTGTGCTGATGTGTATTTCACCATTTGTATAAATATATGCAATGCAGCACTGGGCACATCAGCTTGCATGCTCCAATGTGCTGGATTTCAGTGCACCAGAGCAGACAAAGGTACATGTATACATGCCCCTGGATAGTATGATTAAGCATCAGATGCTAAGAAAACAGACAGACATTGACTGATCAGGTTTAGTGCTGCTAACTCGAGAAACACCAGGGTTTAACCAGGGTATCTGGTGATGATGATTCATAAACCAGGTAATGATTCATAAACCAGGTTCCATGTATAAATTTGCCATCTGTTTACATGGAGATAGTGAGGTATTTTTATACTATGCTGTTTGTTCTCTCTCGTTTCTAGTATTAGTAGTATAACTGTTGTCCATTGAACTACTCACATGCTTATGCTTATAATAAAGCATGTGCTTTAGCACTTCAGGATCTTGCATAATAAAATTGAGACGTAAGAGACTTGCTAGAGTTGCTCTACAACCATGATGTTCATCAGGAGTGCTGTGGCACCCTGGGGAACTGTAAGATCTTTCTGAGGATGCTGTGCAATATGAGCATTTGTAGGTATGCAACGCCTACATGTGACTCACAAGATACAGATTTCAAATAGGAATCCATAGTTTCAAAAATATTCTGATCTGCTGTGGTCTTTCCAAGTTCTTTGCAGCATCAGAATTACACTATTATACTTTCACAATCAAAAGAATGAATGAAACCAAGAGATAGTATTTTCTGAAAGGGGCCTTTAGTCTAACACATGGGTACTGAACCCCCACCCCATAGGTCAGATCTGGCCTATGTAGCCGTGTCATCTGGCCTGCAGGACATTCCAAGGGCATGGAAATTGTGGCAAAGTCAATTGCCGCATCTTTGCTCCCAAATTTCTAGATTCATGGGAATTCTTGCAGGCATGATAACATAGCGCTGTGCATCAGATCACACCAGTATACAGCTGGATCTGGGCGTGTGGGATCAGGTAGGTATGCAGTTGGATTGGGGTGGTGGGCAGCGCACAGCTGAATTAGGCCAGTACATAGCTGGATTAAGTTAGTGGCATGGCAGCACATGCTTGTATAGGCCAACATATGGTATGTGGCCAGATCCAGGGATGTAGAATGGGGTCCATGGACCAAATATGTATGGAATCCATCCTGTAGACTGACCCTGCAACACTCATTTGGCTCACAGGGCCAGAAGGTTGGGTACCTCTGGTGTAACAAGGTTTGAAAAGCACTGCTTTAAGGTAAAGCCAAGGTAGGCTGATCTGAACATGAATTTGCTGTCCCAGGTTAAGAGATATTTAGGATTACATTCTGAATTTGACAGATGCTCCTCCTTCCCTGGACATAATAGTTATTAGAAACACTTTTCACCATCACAGGGAAATTCAATGAGTGCCTTAGCTACTCCAAATAATTTGCAACTACTCCATTCAATTGGATACACATTATTTAATCCTAACCAAACTAATATCTATTCCATCACCTTCTTCAGTGGTGACTGCCATCTTGATTTGAGGTTGTGGACAAATGTACAGCTAATTCACCTACCTAGTGACTACTACTATGCCTTGCACTATGTGTTGTGGGAGCATCCTGTTTACCTTTAACTCCCTTGTAATGAAAGCAGACAGACAAACTTAAATTGGTATTACCTAGACAGGCAGAGTTTTACCTATGAGTTTTTACCGATGAGTTTTTGTATAGTAAATCTCTAACAGACTGGAGTCAAACCACCAGACTTAGAGCTTGCTTTGTTGGTTTGGTACTGTTTTCCACTAATGCAATGAAGATTAAAGAATATACATAGTTATTTAAATACATTTCTGCTGAAGAAAAAAAAATAACTTTAAGCATGTGGTCAGTCTCACTGTAATCAACAAACTCATTCTCTTTGCCATTTGAGTCCTAAATATTAGGCAACTGTTCAGGAATTACATGCTTAAGTCTATCCGTATTAAAAAAAAACACTTAAAAGGAAATCATTGGGATTTAAATGTTTCCTTAATGGGTACCCAGAATCTAAAATGGGCAGACAAGAACAGAAAACATGGAGAGATCCTTGGTTAATTTTGACTATGTCTTACTTGAGGGTGGTGAGTTCTGTAAGTGATGGCTGGGTAGCCTTGAGATAGCTCTCCCTTCGTGCTGCAATCTTTGGAGATGGCTTTGGGCTGGTGTCTGAGTCCCCACTGTCATCATCTCCCATGGCTTTAATGTAACTACCACTGCGCATTCGCCGGCATGGAATCTCATCATCTTTGCCTCGTGGAGTGTACCCAGTCCATTCATCCTGAGGAACCTATAGAAATAAACACAATGCAGTCATTCACTGTACCTCTCTATTACAGTTTGAGGAGAAACTCCAAAACCATAAAAACAAGCAAAGAAAAATTTAAAGAATTATACATTTCCTAATTGTTTCTCCACACATTCCTTTCACTCTCACTTTATTGAGAGCAATATGTAAAGTGAATGATTTATATAACATAGTGACCATTATGTGCTATGGCTAATGCCAAACTTGGGTTGTCAAAAATTGATTTACATGTTGTGAATATTCATGTTGTCCTACTAAGATTACCATTAGGAATGCATCACTGTGGCATCTGGACCTTTATAAATTGTTAAACGTAACCCCGAACATATGAGAGGCAAGGATTTTTTGGGGTCATTTCTTTTATTGGACCAACTGCATGGTTAGAATAAAGTTAGACAATCTTTTGAATGCAAGATATTTTTCATAACCCAACATACAGAACTTTCAGTACAGCGTATCATACATCCATTGCTTCCCATATATTATGATAGTGCCTTGATTTTAGTTTATTTACACATTCATAATGAGAAGGCAAGTACTGAATTACCTATTAAATTTAAATTACTCCTTAGCTGCCAACACCTCACTGCAATCACCAACTTGAGCCTGGAAGGTAAATAAACCCTTACAAATATAACTATTGCCAGTATTTTAATTTTTATGGCACAGTCTAGCAATTTTGCTAAAACCCAACAAAATACTGTGCTAGACAAAGACAAAATGATTCCACAATCTTGACCACCAGTTTGCCAATGATTATAATGACTGTTGCTGATTATTATAATTAGCCAGTAAAGCTAATTGTAAACAAAAATGGTGTTCCTTTTCCTTTTTTCATCACTGATAGCTAGAAAATTGTATTTAGAGGTTTGCTTTTGGGAATTGGCTTATAGGTAAAGTAGATATGCATTAGAATAATGGTCCAGGGGAACAGCAAGGGTTAACTGATTTCCAAAAAACCTGTCTGTGAAGAATTTTCTCCAAGGCCCACTCTGTCTGATACAGGAAAGGAGCAAGCAGACACACAGGCTGGGAATTGAAGCCATGTTTCCTGTTCCGTAACACAAGATAAGATGGCATCAGGTCACAGTTCCCAACTGCAGGGCCCTTGGGATTTCCAGTTTTGGGGAACAGCTCCAAGGAGGACACCAGAAAGAACCAAATTAGGATATGCACATGTGATGGGTTTGTGAAACAAAGGAATACGCTGACAGGATAGAACTTGGACAGTATGACAACCACTGAGAGACCAATCAGCAATGGCCAGAAATGAAAAGTCATCAGGAGGGGAAAAGTATACAAAAAGAAGGAATTTCAGGGCAGTAAAGGGTACCCAAGAAGGGAACCCAAGGCCACCACAGACAGAGGGCACACCACCAACCCATCTCACCCACCCGACTGGGGGAGGGTGGGCCTCAGCCTCCGACCTCCAGACTGCTGACATTTGACATTCAAGAGAACCTTAGGGTAAAGCTTGTGTAGTGGCCAGACATACCTCCCCTCTAATGACAGCTCTAGGACTGGGAGATACAGAATTGTTTGCATTATTCTTATCTGCTATCACTGTGTATCACAACATTTCCCCTATTATTGAATGGAAAGGTCATGGTCAGTCTGAGGGTTTTGGGTCCTCCCAAAATAAGGCATCCAGGTCATAAAACCAGTGCCAATAATCACCTCCAATCTCAAATCCCAAGACTCTTTCTTTAAATATTTCTAAAATCCATTTCCTCTTCTTTCTCTAATGCCATAATTATATTTAATTACCTAATTACCATTTGGTCCCCCTCGCTACAGAAAGGGTGTGGAAAAATTGAAGAATCCAGTGGAGGGCAACGAAAATGGCTAGGGGGTTGGGCCACATGACTTCTGAGGAAAGACTGAGGGAACTGGGCTTTTTTAATCTGCAAAAGAGAAGACTGGGTGCGTCTACATGAGACATGCTACTGCGCATTAGCAGTTTACTGCACAGTAAGCGCATGCATCTACAAGCGCGTGCACTTAATGAGACATAAAAACCCTTAATCCCACTTAAATTTCCTACTTGTAAATACAAGTAGGAAATTTAAGTGAGATTAGTTAATGCACAGTAGTGCACATGTAGACATGACCCATGGGCCTCTCATATGCTGAGGAAAGCATTGATGCTAGTGGCGATGACCTCCTCAGCAACAGCAGGCAGGGACATGTAGGGTGGATTTTGAGGGCCAGCCTAGACTTGCCCCCTGTGCTGTCGAAGTTCAGGGTCCCAAACTAGGAGTGCAGGTATGCCCAGGGCACCATGAGGATCAATAGCAGCAGGGCAAAGTGAGTCAGGCACCCCTTAGCCCATGCAAACAGCTCACCGTGCACTGCGCAGGGCACGCACAGCAGGAGGGGCACACTCTTGGCACAGTAGCAGTACTGTCCTGGGGTGCCTCTCCACAGAAGACCCCAGTGGGGGGGGCAGCTCCTCGCCCCAGTAGTTGTCCAGGAAATCTGTGCCCCTCAAGTCCAGGCACCACGGGCTGGGTAGCAACACAGCAGATCATTTGGCCTGCAGCAGGAGGGGGAGGGCAGCAGGGTCTGGAGCAGGGGCAGGCAATAATTTTGGGCATAGGGCCACTTACTGAGTTTTGGCAAGCTGTAGAAGGCTGCATGGGTAGGCCCACCCCTTGACAGGTGCCCCATTCCCTGTTCACCATCTTGTGACCAGAAGTCTTGCCCCTAATCCCTGGCCTTTGTTAC